GTGATACTAAAGAATGTCATTTAGTATTGATTTATCTCAAAACTCCATGGTCTGAATTTCTTTGATCCAATTGGTAACTACAGAGTTACCAATTTTTATCTTGTGCTTCAGACTTAGAAAGCAGCAAACAATGCAATAACCCTTTACTATGCCTCTGTTTCTTCCTGAGCTCTTTCACAGAACCTGTTTGTTTTCTAAGAGAAGCATTTAGTTTTTATTTGCATGTTAAACTTTTAGCTGAGTACCTAGAGGGAGCCAGAACAAGTACAACTAAACAGGAGTGGTGGTTTAAGATTCTTCTTATCACGCTGATCAATTGTGAGCTAGAGGGAACTAGCAAGGGAAGATGGAGAGACAGTCTAGTCTCTAGACTACTGCAAGTCTAGTTCATCACACTCAGCAGAGGCCCAGGCCCCAACTGTCTACATATTTAAATACCTATGCATGTCAGCGAAGCAATAGCTCAGTCCCTGGAATTCCGGTTTTTTTTAATTGTTCATTAATGAGTAGTTGTACCACATCACTTTCTGAGCTGGCCACTGGCTCTTGCCTGACTGTTTACTCTATTTACCACTCTTGGCGGAATGGTTATGAAAAGAAAGGAGCTTTTCTTTGAGACTCAACTCAAAGTCCTGTGAAGCAGTTGTCTCTCTTATAAAAAAATGAATTATTTTTCCTTGAACAAACCTAAGCACGATACTGGAAAATAGAGTTATACTGGAAAAGAATGTCATCATTCTAATTTGCCCAGGAATATTTTAATAGTACAGTACAATATGTAATAGTACTTAATGGTATTAATAGTAGTTAATAGCACAGTACTGGGGTTGGCAAACTTTTCCTGTAAAGGGTCAGAGAGTAAATAGTCTTCTGGCTATGTGACCTCTGTTTTAATTACTCAACTCTGCTGTGTATTGTGAAAGCAGTCATAGAAACAGATAAATCAATGGGTGTGCCTGTGTTCCAATAAAACTTTATTTATGGACACAGAAATGTGAATTTGTTATAATTTTCACATGTCACCAAGTATCCTTCTCTTGTTTCTTTTTTTTTTCTTTTTCCCAGCCAGTTAAAAATGTAAAATCAGTCTTAGCTCGCAAGTGGTGCAAAAACAGGCAGTGGGCCAGATTCTGTGCGCAGATTTGGTTTGCTGACCCTTTTTGTAGTAAAAAGAGCCCATGGTTTTAGCCTCAGCACCTGGATTTGAGACCAGGATCTGTGATTGACTTGCCTTGTAGCCTTGGGGAAGTTACTCAGTTTGCCCAAACCCTAGTTTTCCGTCTATAAAACGTAAATTATAATACTCAAGCTCTGATGGTGGATTAGAATTAAATGAGAAAACTTGTGCAAGTACTCTGAATGCTCCAAAACACCACACAACGTAGGGTGTAATATTGTTTGGTTATTATTGTACATACTGTGCTTTGTCAAAATCAAATAGTAGCCTGACAGAGCTTGGACTGCTAGATGACATTCTACATCAAAAGCTCTCCAAGACGTTGAGGGCAGAAATATTAGGAAGAGGTATGCTTTACTCAATTTTAAATGAAAGGATAACATTTTCTTAAATGCGGGGTGGCCATAGAGTCTAGAAACAAGGTATTATTAGTTGATTATATTGTAATGCAATATCAATGAATCATCTATTATGTATATGTTGCCTATGTTTTTTGACTTTATAGCCATCCATTGAAATGAAACCATAGAAGATAATGTTTACCATCTATGTAGGACATTTAATCTTCAACTACCCTTATGACTCTTCTGAATCACATAGAGTATCACCCAAGTCAAGGAAAGAAAGACTGTAAAGTAGTCAGACCCTTGGCAAGCTGTTTTGGAAATGACTATG